CTCTTGCTTATTTGAATTGTCCTTAAGTGCTTAACTTGTTATTATTTTGCCCAAGTTTACTATTTCATTAAATGAATTTTGTGTGTAAGTCTTTAAATTTTGCCTAAGTGCACTAAGTACATTTAAATTCGGCCATTTGTGCACCTAAAATCGGCCCAATAATTCCGGCCCACAGTCTAGTTTTGTATGGCCCAAGACCAATAAACAAGTCCATCTCCCTCAATTTGAACGTGCAACAACCCATATCTCACTCCTCATCTTATCCTTTCACCCGCAACAACTCCCCCATTTCAGCCGCCACCTACAACCATCAAGAGGGAGACCTAGCCCAACAATGTTTCCCCAAAATTAGATCACTTACCACACGGCTCTCCCAAGCAACGAGCATTTATCTTTGATTTAAGCCCTCAAGGTCAGAGCCGCCCCTCATTTTCTTTTTCTCCCACGAGTAAGTTCGTCAAGATCGACAGAAGCCATCAGTTTTCGGTGATAAAACCAGCGCACGGCCGGCGATCGCGAGCCATCCTTTCCTGGCAACCACGTCGTCCGACCATGGGTAGATTGACGCGACCTCGAGCCCAATTTCCAGCAAGAATAGCAGAATCGTCGATGACGGGATTCCCGGCGAGCAACAGCCGTCACGGCAGTCGAAGTCCACCTTATCTCCGACGGGTCGAGCACCACCAGTGGCGAGGAAGAACACTTCAAAGAGATACGAACTCTGTCCGCGACTGAGCAGGTTTCGAGCACCACCGACGGCGTCCTTGCGGCTGACGAGAGCAGGCCACCATGGTGAAGGAAGGCAGATGCGGCTGACTAAAGAACCGGACCTTGCACGACGAGGCAGTTCGGGCTGAAACAGAGTGACTTGGGTGATTTTCCAGGCTGAAACGAGTCTAGGGCTGAAGTGAGTCGAGTTTCGTTGACCACCCGAGGAGCAATCTGTACCAGAGACCCTCGAGTTTGCCCACGAGTAAGACCCGATGTCCAGCGATCGGGCCTCCGCGGTGAGTCGAGCAGTCGGTCCTGGTTGCGGGAAAAGCTTCCACACGTACAACATTCCCTCACGCTTGGCGCCAAAAAGCAGCAAGCAATGTCCGAGTGCCAAAAGGTTGGACTAAGCAGCAGCAAAACCGTGTCCTCTCTCAGCTGAATGGCCACCAGCCGAGAGGTCCCGAGAAAGGTACAACGGTTGCACCTTAATAACTTTGTTTTGGCCGAGAATATTTGATTATGTACTTGAATGATGTGCTATGGTCGTGAGTGTGTGTCTTGTTTACTGCCACTTTGCTAGACCTGATTATGTGTTGTGATTATTTTAAGAAAGAAAAAGAAGGAAATAGCAATGTTGTGTTTTGGACGATTCTTTATGTATCATGTATGTTGTGTGTTGATGAATTTTATGCGGAAGTAATTTGTGTTTAGAGAATTTATATCTCAGGTCATTTAGCCTCAGTATGTGAGATAACGGTTGAGAAAAGAAAAGTTGTATGTGAATATGTGTCATGTGTTTGAAATATGCATGTTGTGATGTATGTAATTCTTATGGATTATGGTTCTCACATCCTCTTTATGTAGTATATTCATTGCCTGTGGTGGGGTGAATTATTTACTTGTACGAACATATTGGGGTTTTAGCTTTCTGGATTGATTTGTTATTACATGTACTTTAAACTTTTGATTGGGGTTGGTATCTGTGTATTTTTGGATTTCTATATGATTAGTTCGTGTCTTTCCTTTAGGCCTTGTTGTACTAGTTTGAAATTGATAAATTCTGACTCTAAATTAAGAGAAGAGAAGTTGGAATTTATGTGATTTTATCTACTTATTTTGGTTGCATTATGTGCTCGTACCTCCAATATGTGCCTTACGTGTTTTATTTGTTGGATTGTGCCTTTCTTGCTTGTGTGGTCTAATCAACCTAATCAAAACCTTTAATAATATTTAAATCCCTAATTTTTAGGTTTGAGGAGTCGAGCCCTCGACCTATGTTCTTCAGCTTGTGTACTTTTGCCTACCCAAGTTCTAGGTGGGTTATTTAAATTGTTGTGCCGTAAGTGTCTATATTTTTCTGGGTTGTCATGATCAATGCATGCATGTGAATTTGTGTAACCTTCGATGTGAGCTAGATGTCCTTCGAACGGGTGCCCACGTCGATGTGAGTTGTATGTACTTTGACGATGCCCTTGTGATGCAATCTCCCTTAGTCCTGATATGGTCGTACCCTTGTGAGGTACGTAAGTCCCTATGTAAGGCCATGTCGTTGAGAGCTGTATGTCCTTCGGTATGCACTCCCATTGTTGAGAGCTGTATGTCCTTCAATGGCTAATGATAGATGTGCACATGAGTGAGATTATTGGTGTATTGATTGGAGATGTGATATGTTGAATTGATTTATGATCATGCTGTGACCATACCTTTGTTATATTATGTTGTTATTTACGTGCATAGTGGTGAGCACCACGATTTCCATTTGTGCTCACCCCCACCTGCTCTTCATGGATGCAGGTTAGTAAGTGCGGGCACAGTCGAGGGATGCGAGTGGTGGTCAGTCATTGATGACCAGCTTATTATTTGATATTGCTTCCGCTTATTGAACTGTTTTTTGTTATTTATGCATCTATCATTATTGAGGATTGGAATTAGGGATTATTAATGACTTATGATTGACAATTGAGGATTGATGATTGATGACTTATGATTGATAATTGAGGATTGATGATGGATGATTGAGGATTGGGATTATTGTCGAATATTGATGTATGCTTTTGATAATGAGTAACGCTTCAAGAGAATTTGAAATAAATTTGAAAAATTTTATTCTGATTTTCGGCAAATAAAAAGTGGGACGTTACACTTTGATATCAGAGCTGGTTTACGTTTCTGTAGACAGTTTAATGTGAAATATGTGAACTCTGGGGAATATTTGGATCAGATGATGTAATTATGACCACTCGCTTCCGTCGTGCCGCGCCA